CCCATAGCGGATTACACAACCAACGCATCGCACTCGAGAATGCCCTCGTGCTCGCTAAAACACTTAATCGCACGCTTCTTGTTCCATTCCTAAGGCTCGGAAAACCAATTCGATATGTTTCGTTCGAGAAACTAAGACGCTTCCTCGTGCTTGGGTCTAAAACTGGGCTTGAACACTGCCCGCTCGTCCCCGTCGGCATACCAGCACCTGACGAATGTTCAGGGTACGAAGAATGGACTTCTATCCCATGGGATCACCTCGTCGATCTACAAGCAATAGGAGAGAAAATCGGAGTAAAGATGATCCAATGGGACGGAAGCCCAGCAGCAGAATATATGAAAAAGTTTCATATCAATATATTCGACGCAGATACCTTGACGCTACAAGACTCCGGACCTTACGATTTTCGGTTCTTGGACACGCTTGATGATGTATCGCCTACGCGGGACAAGTATCTCTATTCCATCTACATCCCAACACTTGCTCAGGCAACCGAGAGGTTGGTGCAGATCGGAACGTTGTTCGGCTCGTCGAGGCTTAGGCTGAAACAGGGTGTGAGTAAGAGTGTGCGCCAAGATGTAAGGAGAGGAATGGCATTTACGAATCCACACCTGTCTCATGTGGCCGATACGATATATGAAGCGTTAGGCGCTGTCTACATTGGTGCCCATCTTCGTATTGGGGACGGTCAATTCGAACAACGAAGCACCGATAATGCAAGAACAATCTGGTGGAAACTCGTGCACCTTGTTTGTGGACTAGATATCGAAGAGACTTTGGTGCTTGAACACCAGCTCAGTACTTTCGATGAGGATCTCGATCTGCCGCTTATTCAACCGGATACACCGAGTCTCAGGGTACCTCATCCGCCTTTGCCTTATCTGCCGCATACGTTCAAACCCAGGATCCGATGTCGTGCACCTCTGCATAACTCAGCACCATTACAAAGACTGAACGTCCCTCTTTACATCGCTACTGATTCCCCGAATCCTGCAGCAGACCCACTGTTTTCTATATATCTTCAAACTTTCCCGTGCATATTCTTCTTGTCTGATTTTACATCCCACCTGACTCCCCTCGATGCATTGGTCAATCCGTACGACTACATCCCATTGAGGGGGTTCTTAATGCCGGTGTTGGATGCGATGGTATTAGCCAGAGCGAGAGAGGTCGTTGTCACGGATGGGAGCACTTTTGGAGCGTTTGTGCAAGATGTGCTGTGGAGGCGGCATTGGGGATTTGAGATTGTGCAGAGGGGATGAGTGCTAAACTGCATGTCGGACAAGACTGATCACTTCTTATGTAGCCATTATCCAGTCACGCATTCAGGTGCACATCTCAGATTCTGATATATCTCATACTGGCCACTAGACAAAGAGAGATAGAAATAAATGAACTAGTGTTTGTTGCCAAGACAGTTGAGGGGCGGGCAGAATTCAGGCAGAGCAGTATCCCAATGGGTGCGTTGGAACTTGGCGGTGTGGCCACTCCTAATTAACTTCGAGCGCTGTGATTTCAGTGACTCCCAATAACATTGTCACTAAAAACTTGACTACCATTTCCGAATCGCTGAAAATTTCCGCGACCAGTGACAGATAGTGGAATCAATTGATGATACTCTCCAGTGACTAGTTTCACTGAGGGGCTCTCTCTATTGGCTTTCAAATCTTTGTCCTACTTGAATTCATGATAACGCAGGGCAATGTGTCTCAACTATGAACTGGTCGGTGGTGATTGCTATTTATGCTGACATGTGCTCGTATACAACTGCTCGTCTTGGCTGACTAAGCCTTCGGAATCATTCGTGAGGAACCTTTCTGCTTCGCCTCTACCTTAGAACCCCCTACTTTAATGGGCTTTTTTTTCGACAGTGACCCGCGGGTGTTGCCCGGGCGCATACTCGGGAGAACACTTGTGTCATACCCTAGAACAGTAGCGGCTTTCGACGCGCATGATCTACCGCAATAATCAAGTTTATTGAACTTCGGCTTTTGTCCACAGTACTGGAATGAAATATGTTTCATGACTGTCGGATCATCATGATTCTGTACTCACGTCACAGGGGCCGCGCTGTACCGGCTTTTGGGCTGGTGGAGGAACTTTAGCCTTTGAGGATTGTCCTAGTTTCGCGCGAGGCGCAGATTGGTGCGCAGTGACCGCCAGAGCGGCGCACATCACGCTGCAGTATTTATGAGTGCCGATTGTCGGCACCTTATAACAGTTCTACACAGGAAAATTCAAGGGTGAATTACTAGAACCAGCAGGGACAGGGTAAGCAAGTACTCACCTCGCAAATTCCAGTAGCCATTGAAGTTATCTGAGTGGCTGCCCAGTTCAGAATTGCATCTTCTTTTATAGAGGTGGTGGCCATTGGCATGAGGCTGCAGGGCGTTGGGGTGGATGATACTCAAAAGGTATCACTTCTACGTCCTGTCCGCATGTTAGTGCATGAGGCTGTTTATCACAATGCATCTAGCCAAAAGTGAGCAAAAAAGGGTACACACTCATTGATTCTGAAGCCTTCTGTTTGCCTCCTGTACTCCTCCGATCCAGGGAAGGCATCACACGCGGTTGGATCATCATGACCCACAAGGAGATCGAAATAGTTTTGGAAAAAGTTGGTTTGCGTTCTCTCAAGAGATTGAGATACATAAACACATCATGATGACTGTCCAAACCAACGAGAGCGAGGTTCGAGTCTGCTTCGTGTATATCTATATCACGATGAATCCGGACACAAGCGCGTCTGACACTCAAACAGCTAGCCTCTCGCCAGTCGCAACCTACAGGTGTGACGTCAATGAGAGCTCTAATTTCAAGTTCAAGTCATTTACGGAAGTACTTTTTCGATGTGTTGGGGCAAAACGTTTGAAAACTACTGCATATTCACGGAAACTAGGTTTCGAGAAGAGTACAGCTTCCTGCCTTGCCTTGACTAAATAACGACAAAGATGAAAAATGCGTTAGACGAAGATGGCTGCAAACGACGACAACTTGAAGTTCCTTACACAATTCAACTTATTGTCACACTCAATAAGGTGAAATAAGCTAAAATAAGTGTCTTCGAAGTGGAAAAAGGCCACTCGTCGTCTGAATTCTCACTTATTTCCGACTTGCTTTACTTTTCGCATCACAAGTAAAGGAGAAAAGGGTATTGTCCATTCAGATTGAAGAATTGTTGGAGGACGAGAGACTTGATGATGTTTGGATCCGGATGGTGATGGCGAGTCGACAAACAAGGTAAAGCCATGTTCTCCATCATCTTGGTATCTGGGGGAAGATGCACCCTTCAGATGTTTAAGCCATGCAGAATTTGATTTACTGTAAGAATATTACCAGTAGTGCGCTTGTTTCCTCGTCAAAACCTAGCGGGATCACAATCATACGAGTGAGCTTGAAGCGATTCTCCAGCGCCTCCATACCGAACACCGAGCTGCAACATGAAGCTCATTGAAATCTTGCTAGAATGAACCGCGCTAGAAGAAAAGCCCTTGTGTGATAAAATTGGTGACGAATATGAGACGCCAGACGAGAGAACTTCGCCTGCATCCGGTGCACAAACAGGCCTTGAGAGTCAGTGGGATGAATGGGTGATATTGCAACAAGCTATATGCATAGATTTGAAGGAGTGATGTGGTGATGTGCTAGAGTAGCTATGTATTCGACGCAGAAAAAAGACACTGCAGGACAGATAGTACTGAGGGTGCAAGAACTTAAGTGAGAGCTCAGAGCAACTCATCACCTGACAGTGGCACTGCGGGAGAGACCCGCCGGAGCGGAATAAATTCTAAAGTGCATCTAGTATACAGGATAATCATTTATGTCTTGCGCCTTATTCAACATTCGCTTGATCAATGAAGAGATTCACTCCCCGGAGTCCCGAGTTCTCTACGCTACACAAACTCGAGCGTAGTGGTCCACCAGCAAGACTGGGCACGTTCAATCATTTTTTGGATAAATTCAAACATCCTCATTGCTCGAGCAGTACGAAAATTTGTTCAAAAGCAACTGTATTAATCGCATCCGAACGGCGAACTAGGTATTACACTATTAAATATGATACTAAAGCAAAAGGAGAAACATGACTCACTGTCGCGACGTGCCCCTCCAGCTGCCGCTTCCATTTTCAACCTTTGTGGCTGTGGTAGCAGAGCCAAGATCCATGCTAAGGCACGCAGGTGAGTGATGTGGTTGAATCTTGGTTGCACAGCTGACTGCTCATACTCACGCCAAAAGTTCCTTGCTAAGGCACGCAGGTGAGTGATGTGGTTGAATCTTGGTTGCACAGCTGACTGCTCATACTCACGTTAAATTTCCACAAGTAAAACCCTTACAGCAATCGTCAGGTTTCGGATGGCAAACTTGGTACTTGGTCCCACAGTCTGCACCGACAAACATAGCTGCTGTCAAAGCAACAACAACGGCGAGGAGGGAGAAACGCATTTTCTGTGCGAGGTTGATATGGACTATCCTAAGGGGGATCTCAAAATGATAGAGGAACACTGTAGGACGACGGCCAGCTTTTATATGTATATGCTAAGGAGCGCGATTCTGATCGATCTGGCAGAATTGTTATTGCTGTTATATGGCACAAATTTTAGCAGAACTGCAGGTGCGTATTTAATCGGCCAACAGGCATCGACGATTTTCTTGAGATTGGTGCATGTCAACCTGTAAGGTGGTGGGTTATAGATTAGCCGTCAATTATTGTTCATGCGGAGCGGCAAGTATGAGCCACTGTAACAGTGCGGACAAAATCGCTTTGTTGTCGTGGGGCCTCGCGGCACGCTGCAGGCTTTGCGCTGACCCCAAGGGCTGCTCAATTTCATTCAGTTCGCGTTCACTTGAACTCAACTCAGCTCGCGCAGCGCCAACACTTCATGTAGTGAAAGGTAAACTCGAGATTTCCTGATGATGTTGTATCAACTAATTACCAATATTGTTTCTGAATCAATCCAGTAGAATCTGATGCGAAAACTGAATTTCACTCTCTCATCACGATGGCAGAATTCGGCATGGTGTCAAACTCTGCCAGTGCACTCACTTCTGTAAGTTTAGTCGCAACTGCACAATAAGAACTTGGTGCAAAATGCAAATTGGAGGCAATAATAGACGAGACGAAAATCAGACAGAGTTGTTTGAGAATGAGACTTCGGGATGAGACAATTGGCTTCTAAATGGAACGTTAGAAAAAATACGACCATGTACAGACTATTGTTACAGCACTGCTTAGCTACCGTAAGTCAGTAACGAGTGGTTCATGTGTTCTAATGATAAGAGAAATGGAACTCCAAGTACAAAGAATGAAAAAGAGTGGTGCTAGTAGAAGGATGTATCCGTGTGTCTCGGATGCGAAGAGTAAAACCCTTCGCATCGATGAAACACGACGACAAGTTCCACCTTGGTCGGAAGTTGTGGTTGGTACGGGAGGATATCATATCCTTACGATGCGCATGTACTATTATTGTACTGCCATGTAGGTGAGTCATATGATTAAATGCAGGAAAACTACTGGATACTCACGCACACAGGCCAAGGGCAGAGACAATCTGCGTCAATCTTGCAAGTGCCCCAGGGACAATCTTGTCTGTCAAAGGGCATAGCAGAGGTTGATGATGCTAAAGCAGCGACAACAACGAGGTCAATTGTAGAGGAAAAACGCACTGTATGTGACTGGTGTGATATCGTTGGTATCAGATAATTCTGAAGAAGATAGTAGGAAGACGGCTGGCTTTTATGTGCTGAATATTCTTTGATTTTTTTTGTAGAGGACCCTAGAAGAGGGGGCTGGTATAACGTTGTAAGGATCATATATCCTCTGCGCCCCGACCATAGCTCCAATAGGAAATGTGTGAACCGTTGTTCGCAAAAGCCAAACAAAGCCACACAACTCACTGATGCGAAAAAGCATCACGCTTCACATCCGAGTCACGCGGATACATTTCTTCTTTTCATTTTACTTTCAGTACCCTCACGCTATCGCAGTCCCTATATTAAAGTATTTTCACTTCGTTATCGACTATTTTCACTTTGACGTCGAGCATTTTCACCTTGCTATCGAGCATTTTCACGCCGCATCTGGCTTAATCAAAGTATTCAAAATGTACTTATACAACAAATGTATGCTAATGTAGAGCAGCGAATTCTATCAAAAGGATCCCCGCTCCAAGTACTTCAGAAAAGCCTTCCTCAACGTGTCCGTCTCCAGAGTCTAACCTTTCGTGTTTCTCTTCTCGCGTCTAAACCACCTTTGCTTACATTCCCCTTCGAACTCTAAGCTATATCGATCTCACCGGGGTCGACGATCGGTCCGAATCTTTTAAAAATAGGTTTTCGTCGTCACTCCACTTGAGTGTTCTGTCAGTCAAATTTGAACGTTCTGTTCGCTCGCCGTCATATAAACGAGAAATACATCACTCAACTGTTGATCGTCGTGTTTGACTTGGCATGACTGCAGCTTCATCGTCTTCTGATCATCTTCGTCTGTGCTCGTGCCTGCCGTTTCGCTGGTGGTGTCGGATCAGGAGCTTCCTTATGACGGGTCGTCTGTTGCTTTTACGCAAGTTCTTTGGACTTTCAAGTTCGACGAGCTGATAGTGATCAGTATTTGGTTGGACGTGTATTGCCTGTCGCTGCCCCTACCTTGCGGCACGTTGTGGAATTGCCCACGCATAGTGAGTCAGACATCCGATCTGAAAAATTACTTATGCGACATGCTACGAGTGCACGCATGTGATGTTGAGTGTGCCATGAACAATCTGATCATGATTGTGTGAGGCTATACTGTCATATTTATTGATACAAAACTAGGCATTGCTTGACGGATACTTACCTATGATCCCCAACCCCCATAGAGTATGCATACAGGTAAGAAGCGTGGCGTTCTTGTCCGTGTATACCGAATCGCTGATGCAAAAATACAATCAGCATGGTGGTTCCGGTGGGTTACCTGGTGACTTTCGCTGAAGACTGATCATGACATCATCTACTTTAAACACAGATTCTTCCCCTAATGCCGGTCGCGGTGATCTCGAAGGCTGGCTCGAAGATCAAGTACAACTGGTAGTAAAAGTTTGAACTTTGAAGCGTTGCCTTCGCCCGAGGTTTTCTGTATCTGTTTGGTGCGACTTTAGCTTGAGAGCGATCGAATATCTCTAGTACTCGTTTGCGAGATCCTCCAGCACATCACTGCATATCTGCATGTCAATGAGCCTGCATTCGTCCCAGACCATTTTCCATCTCGCAAGATACCTTCGGCTCGTGAATCCCTTGCGGCGCTTGCAACGACATGCAAAACTGCAATGGGTGATGGCATTGGAGGCATCAGGAAAGAACTCGAGCTTAGTGGTCCACCAGCAAGACTGGGCACGTTCAATCAATTTTTTTTAGATAAATTCAAACATCCTCATTGCTCGAGCAGTACGAAAATTTGTTCAAAAGCAACTGTATTGATTGCCTCCGAACGGAACTAGGTATTACACTATTAAATATGATACTAAAGCAAAAGGAGAAACATGACTCACTGTCGCGACGTGCCCCTCCAGCTGGCGCTTCCATTTTCAACTGGTAGCAGAGCCAATTTCCATACTAAGTCTCGCAGACCCAATTTCCATACTAAGGCACGCAGGTGAGTGATGTGGTTGAATCTTGGTTGCATAGCTGACTGCTCATACTCACGCCAACATTTCCACAAGTGTGACCCCTGCAGCAATCGGCCAAATGTGGATTGCAAGCTTGGTACTCCTTTATACAGCTTGACGCTGCACTGACAAACATAGCTGCCGTCAAAGCAGCAACAACGGCGAGGAGAGAGAAACGCATTTTATGTGCGAGGTTGATATGGACTATTCTAAGGGGGATCTCAAAATGATGTCTCTGAGGATGGTGGAACACTGTAGCACGACGGCCAGCTTTTATATGTATATGCTCAGGAGCGCGATTCTAATCGATCTGGCAGAATTGTTATTGCTGTTATATGGCACAAATTTCAGCAGAACTGCAGGTGCGTATTTAATCGGCCAACAGGCATCGACGATTTTCTTGAGATTGGTGCATGTCAACCTGTAAGGTGGTGGGTTATAGATTAGGCGTCAATTATTGTTCATGCGGAGCGGTAAGTATGAGCCACTGTAACAGTGCGGACAAAATCGCTTTGTTGCTGTGGGGCCTCGTGGCACGCTGCAGGCTTGGCGCTGACCCGAGGGCTGCTTAATTTCGTTCAGTTCTCGTCACTTGAATTCAACTCAGCTCGCGTAGCGCGAACACTTCATGTAGTAAATTATTTACAAGCAGTCTTGTATCAGGGAAAACCTCTCGTGCAAACTTCGATATAATGAGACTAATTACTGATAAATATGTGTAAAGTGTTTTTAGAATTTTAGAATGACTATTTTACCCACCTAATATCCTGGACATAATTACCAGGCAACCTTTTTGTGAATTATGGGAAACTTAGTGCAAGCGTTGTCAATATTTTTGGTCCTTGCTTTGAATTATATTCCTTACTAGATTCCACTTGTGTACAGGAAAGATTAATTTTCATTAAAAGGAATGTAATTAATGTACATGTAGGATTATGAGTGAGCGTGAATGTGATTATGTACCATATATACAATGTTAGATGGGAGAGAGCAGTAACGAGGTACCATTAGTAGATGCTCAATCCTCATACATCCTGTCAAGGTCAAGAAATGCAAGCACACTAGCTTCTGCATCAGTAATGGGATTATTGACCAGTGCAAGATTACTGGCAAAAGACTCGAAATGAGTTTAAGATGTCAGAGAAACAAAAGCAGACATACTTTATTTCAGCAAACAGGGCAGAAGCAATGCTATTAGTAGACCCTAAATGAAGGTAGGCAGCCACTTGACTGCAAGCCTTGTCCTTCAAATCACCACAAAACAGCAGCACTCTAGCCTTGACCTGCAGACAGTTGTTGGTGAGCATGTACTTATTTTAGTGACTGATTGACTTACTAGGCTAGCAAGAGCTGACACATATGCACTGTCAGCCTGCTTGATAGACATAATGCCACGGTCCCAGGCGGTAGTGTGGAGATTATGAGCGGAGGGCTAGAACAAAAGGTACGATCTCAGTGTTTGGACAAACGACTTGTAATATTAATTAGTACCTAGAACAAAAGGTACACTATTGTTTTGGTTAGCATCTTGCTAACATATATGAAACAGTAAGTACTTACATCTCAGTGTTTGGACAAACGACTGAGATGTTCGCTTGAAGGCTCATTGGCTTTATAGATGGTAAGTAAGGAACACAATAGAGGGGAAAATTTTGACATATATTGGATGGCGCAACCTGACGTCAAGAGGGCGCAGCCTATTGGCTGCGCCTGGACTGCGCTTGGACCAGGTCATACTTTCAGCTTCTCTACCTCCAAGACTTTGGGGTTCCTTCCTTCTGTGTCCTCTCTCTCGTTGGTGACTTCGGACTTCAACACTCCCCCTCGAGCGCAATCCAGGCCCATACAAGTCTGCAGCTTCTGTAGGCGAGGGTGGGGAAGAGGTTTCATGAACGTGTCTGCGATATTGTTGTTGGTAGGGCAATAGAGGAGTTGGAAAGTGCCGTTCTTCACATGGGACCAAACAAAATGAAAATGTAAGTCGATATGTTTCATTCGTGACTGGAACTTCCCGGTGGATGCTAACGCTATCGCAGCTTGATTGTCGCACATGATTGGGGTAGGGAGTGTGGGGGCATGATATAGTTTGCTGAGGAGCAATTGGAGGTACAGTACCTCCCGTGCCACACTTGTCAGTGCAATGTACTCAGCTTCTGCGGTCGACAGTGCAATTATAGGCTGCTTCCTCGCACTCCATGCTACAGGTCTGCCGTGCAGCATCACAATGTATCCACTCATCGAGTGCCTGTGTGGCTGCGAGGCCCAGTCCGCGTCTACGAACACCTCTATACCTCTGTCCGTCGCTCCCAACTTCAACTCGAAATCTGCAGTGCCCTTCAGGTACCTTATCGCCTGCTGGGCCACTTCCCAATGGACTCTTCCTGGGTTTCGCATGAATTGTGATAGTGTTGTGACTGTGAAGGCAATGTTGGGGCGTGTGCTCGTGGCAGCGTACATGAGGGAGCCTATGGCTTGTTGATAGGGTACGTCGTGCATTGCTTGGAGTTCGGCGTGCGTGCCGGGGCATTGCTCTACTGAGAGGGTGGTACCAGGTTCCATAGGCGTTTGAACAGCCTTCGCATCAGCGAGGTGAAAATGGTCGAGTATGGTGTCGACATAGGCCTTTTGGGAGAGCGTTATGGTGCGTCCTATCCTGTCTCTGGTTACCTTTAGTCCTAACAGCCAATTTAGTTCGCCCAGGTCAGAGATCTCGAAATACTGGTGAAGGTGGGACTTAAAACTTTGGATGTGGGAGATGCTGTTCACGGTGATGGCCATGTCGTCCACGGACATGGTAATGACCATGTGCTGCTTCGAGGTGCGTATGAAGTATACGGCTTGATCTACCTTCGACCTGCTGAACCCCATTTTCTGAAACACCTCTGCTAATTCCTCTGCCCACTCGAATCCCGCCTGCTTCAAGCCAGGCAAACTCCTCTTGAGCCTCAGCACCTTCCCTTCCTGCCCGTCCTTCAAATATCCGGGCAGCGCGCGCATGTATATCTCCTCCTGGATGCTGGCATATAGGTAAGTGCTCTTTATATCTACCTGGTAGACTTCCCAGTCCTTATGCGCTGCCATTGTCAGGACTGTGCATATGGTGTTCATATTTGCCATGGGCACGAAGGTTTCGAAGAAATCGACACCGTACTGCTGGCATTGTC